AACAGTTCATAACATTCTGGGGAGAAAATTACTCCACATGTGTGCCCAGCCATTCCATGTAGACTTCATGGCCAGGAGGGAGATACGTCTTCTAGGAGAAAAAGGGTTGTTTGCATATCAATCACAAAACTTCTCTTGAATAGGTTTAGGTTAGCACTGCTTGTTCAAGCCAGGAATCCCAATTAAAGCATCTGTCTAAATCTCCAAAGATTTGAACATATCCAGTGATGTCTGCCCACCCTGGTCCTGTTATACAGATTTTTCTAACTTGCAAAATAAGGTTTCAAATCCTGCAATTAAATCTGTTTTGTATATTTATTGAAAAGATAAATCTGAGCAGCTTAAGAAGTAAAACATAGCACATTATCCTAGGAGGAGTGGTCTCGTACTCCTTTTGGGCATTACAAAATTATCATGTCCTGGCTTTTTCTTAGAACCGGACCGGTCCAGTACTTCAAATATCCTTAGCTGATGATCAGGTACATCCTTTTCACGTGTGCTATGTCAAGGGTCGTCAAACTTGGCAAGTTTAAGGCTTGTGGACTTCAACTCCCAGAATTCCTGAGCTAACATGACTGGAGGAAGAATTCTGGGAGTTGAAGTCCACAAGTCTTAGAACTGTCAAGTTTGAAGACCCCTGTACTATGTGATGTATTTTATAGCCACACATTTTGTGTCATTTTCCTATGTGAAAAAAATTCCGTCTGTCTCTGTTAAATTTAATTCTGATATTTTATATTGATTTGTTTAACCAGAAGATGGCTTTCTTTCTATCTTCCAGAATATTTATTTTTATTTATTTGATTTGTCAATCGCTTACAAGATAATAAGTATAAGTATAAACATAGTTATGAATACATGAAATGGGTACATATAAGAAAAATAAAAGAAACAATAGGACAGGGACAGTAGGCACGATTGGTGCGCTTATGCATGCCCTCTACAGACTTCTTGGGAAAGGTCTGAGGTCAATAGTAGACAGTCTGAGGTTAAAGTTTTTGGGGTTCGGTGAAGAAACCACAGAATCAGAGTACTATGTTCCTTCCAATGTTGCCTTCTGAATGCAATAATAATCATTTTTCCCTTCTCTCATCAAAGCATCAAACCTTCTAGCACAACACTCAGTGCAGCCAGTTTCATAGTTTTTTCAAGAAAGCTATTATAGAGCGATTTAATCCAGGCATCATGCATTATTTGGCCTATGTTTTGCTTTGCAAGTTCCATTAAACTTTGGACTGTTTAATTATAGTTTGCAGAGTAAATTTTTACAGATAGGGTTAAGATTAGGGTAAAATCACATCGCCTTAAACCAGTGGTGGTATTCAGCAGGTTCTGACAAGTGCTGGAGAACCGGTAGCCGAAATTTTGAGTAGTTTGGAGAACCGGTCAATCCCGCCTCTGACTGGCCCCGCCAACACCATCTCTGCCTCCCATTGAGTCCCAGCTGATCGGCTGGGTCTTCTTTGGTTGCCCTGCACAGGAGAACGGAGCTGGAAAGCAGGTTAGTGGGGTGGGGAGGGAAGGAGGATTTTACAGTATCCTTCCCCTGCCATGCCCACCAAGCCACACTCACAGAACCGGTAGTAAAAAAAATTGAATCCCACCACTGCCTTAAACCATTAACTGTTTTACAAATCATAAGAATAGCTGTACATAGTTCTTTAAACCAAAGTCAAGTAATCCATAATTAGACTGGATTGGATTGGGTTGGGTTGGGTTATGGGGGAGGCATGGGGAGACATGGTAGGAGGACTTCTGCCTGACCACAGTGGTTCTAAATGAACTAATGACTTGGCATACTGACCTTTCTGGATGTCAACAACGTAAACGTAAAGAATCAGTTTGGTCTGGTTGTGAAGGCACCATGCTAGAAACCGGCGGTCGTGAGTTCTAGTCCCCACTGTGGATACAAAGCCAGGAAGGAGGCAATGGCAGACGCCCGCCAAAAACCTTGCCAAGAAAACTCTAGGGATTTTCCAGGCAGTTTCCGGAGTTGGGACGGACTCAAACCACAGATCCAGTTTAGCACAGCAACGAAAGAGAAGACAGGTGGTTTTGCGTTCTAAGTCACCCACCTAGAAAAGGTTATTAGGGCCCTGGTAAAAGAAAAACGGGTGAGAAAAAGGAAAGAGTTGAAAGATAAAAGCCAACCGCTGCAAGTGCCTCAGCTCCCATTCAAGAGGCCCTGCTATGGGGCCACGCCCCTTGGGCCCTCCCGGATCCTGTCGCCCCCTGGTGGATTTCCGGAGAAATTGGTAAATCCTGCCCTGCCCTCTGGCTGCTGCCGCTGGTTCTTTGCCTTGGCATCTCGCATGTGTCCTTCCTGCTACATCCGAGGAGAGGCAACTCAAAGCAGCGGCTAGAAGGGCCTGGCATTTCAGGGGCAGCCTGCATTGTCCACCTTCTGTCCCCAAAGCACAACTGACTGGAGCCAGAATTGCAGGGAGAGCATTTTCCACAGCCTTTCTTGATGCAACGGCTTGGGGATTAGGGCAGTGGTGGGATTCAAAGTTTTTTACTACCGGTTCCGTGGGCGTGGCTTGGTGGGCGTGGCTTGGTGGGCGTGGCAGGGGAAGGATATACTGCAAAATCCCCCTTCCCTCCCCACTCCACTGTTGGAAATGAATCCAAAGAACAAAAACTTGGATCGGTTGAAAACAGAGATTTTATTTTTAAGGAGTTTGCAAAGAGCGGTAGGATCTGAGTTGACCTCAACACGAAGTGTGAGCCAAGAACCACACCTTAAGATTTCAATACATTACATTTTATAGTTTTTCTGTCCCGACGCCCCTCGTACATCGACCCAGGGACCGAGCACAGCTAATCCGAAGCGCTTTATGGAGACCACATCATCTCCTTCAATACCTCCCAATGACCTCCCATCACATCTTATCTTACTTGGCATTAAGGAATGTCCCTTCAGCAGGGCCTCTTTTCCAGCGGTCTGAGAACAAAGAAATATCTATTCCTAATACCACACTTGTTACATATTAATGTTACACTCAGCACTTCTTCCTAGAACAACCGTCTATGCAAAGTAAAAGTCTGGTAAAGTTAAGCTGATGTTTTGAAAAACAAAATCTAGCTTCAATTGATTAAAGAAAGTTAGGGCAATGGTTTATCTCTACTCCTATTGTCCTCCTAATCCTGGAGGAAATAGGGGTGGCATTACTTGATACAGGAGGATGTAATTGATTGCAGGTACATGTTTAACAATGAATAAATGTACTAGAAAATATATTTACAGCAGGATTACATCAACTGTCTTTTTAATGCTATACTATATTATTCTCTTCACCCACATTTTATTTTTGAATTTTCTTATTTCTAACACCACTAACCTGCTCCGTTCTGTGCAGGGCAATCAAAGGACACCCAGCCGATCATCTGGGACTCGATGGGAGGCAGAGAAGAGATGGGGTTGGTGGGGCCGGTCAGAGGTGGGATTGGCCGGTTCTCCAAACTATGCAAAATGTCCACTACTGGTCCTCCAGAATCCCACCTCTGGATTAGGGGATTGATGAGGGTCTTGGAGTTCCAGAGCTCCTGTAGCAATCTGCATTTCCTTTTAATCCAAGGTAAGGATGATGCAGAACACACACACACACACACACACACCTGGACTGAAATGGCTCCCAGGCAGGTCACTTGTTATGGGAAAGCTGCACCAGCTCTGCTTGCTTGTTCCTCTTGCTCGGGGATGGGAGCCTTCCGAGAGCTGTTGCGGCAAGCTCCTTGTAGGGTTTAGGCCAGGGTAAGAGGTCACCCCCCCGCTCCCCCACTCCAGGGCTGGTCCTCAGGGTCTTCCTCCGGCCTATCCTTTGGCCACCTGTGCTCACAAGCTGGCTTCCAGGTGAGAAAAGCGCCCGAGGTGAGGCTGGCTCCTTTTCCTGGTCTGAACGCTTTAGAACAGAGGTCTCCAACCTTGGCCACTTTAAGCCTGGAGGACTTCAACTCCCAGAATTCCCCAGGCAGCTTTGCTTAATTTCTTGTGATCCCTTCCTCTGCAATCTCTCCATTTTAATTTAGTTTTCTTCAATTCTGGGAGTTGATGTCCACAACCTTTGCTGGCTGGGGACTTCTGGGAGTTGAAGTCCTCCAGGCTTAAAGTGGGCCAAGGTTGGGGACCCTTGACTTAGACTAACTTTATTGTCACTTAGAATGCACACTAATTGGAACACATTAAAAGGGAAATGTTGTGGTCTACAGCTCTCAAAGTGTCTCCACCTCCAATATACACTACATCAAGATGACAAAATAAATACAAAATTATGCATATAATACCCACATAATATATTACATGGGACAGAGAAAGAACTTTCTGCTTTTTCTTGGCTGCTGAAGGAGGTCAATGTTCCCGATAGGGACAAGGCAGCCAACAGGAAACTTTGCCTTCCTCCACTCAGGTGCGGAAACCGGGCTGGGGGGTCTCTCCTCTGGGCAGAGGGGAAACTGCCATCCACTTCACCCCAGAGGTGGGTCACAGGAACCTCTCAGCTGGTCCCCTTTTGGGGTGAATTATTCCATTGAGGGGCCCCCAAAGGAGTTCCTTGGGCTTGGACTTCCAGCCTTTGGGCCTCCCAGGCCTGTAAAGCAGGTCTTCAAACTTGGCAACTTTAAGACTTGTGGACTTCAACTCCCAGAATTCCCCTCGCAGCAATCCGGCTGGAGAATTCTGGGAGTTGAAGTCCACAAGTGTTAAAGTGGGCCAAGTTTGGAAACCTCTCGTCAAAAACACTCCTTCCTTCCTTCCTGGGAAGAAAAGAAGGGCTGCCTCCCCAGGGCTGCCCACTAAAGTATCCCAAGAAGACCCCAAGACTGGATAGCCGCCATTTTCACCCCCTCAGCCACTCCGGACTTCAACTCCCAGAATTCCCCTTGCAGCAATCCGGCTGGAGAATCCTGGG